TATAATATTTTTTTCCCACGTTGTGCTCATCATACACTATAAATTTTTTAATAAACAATATAGTACTATAAATTCCCTTCTAATGTATATAAATGATTTTCCTATTTAAATTATTACATGCCCATGACATGTAGAGCAAACTGACTTGAGTATGTTTATTTTGCTTTAAAATTTCTTCACATTGATGTTTTATACTTAGGATTTATGCCACAAACATTTCTGTATTTATCTTTCATAGATTTAATTTTTTCCACACGTTGTGCTCATCATACAATATAACTTAAGATTTAAATCATTCAAGTATAATACTATAAGGTCCCTTCCAAATTATATATTTGATTTTTCTGTTTAAAATTTATAATGCCTATGACATGTAGAGCAAACTAACTTGAGTATGATTTGTACAAAAAAATTCCATCTGCAGTTTTTTTAAAAATTTACCTGGTAATTCTCTAGATGCATCAGTATTGCAAACTGAAGAGTTTAGGCACCTAAAACAAGCTATTGAGTTGCTTTTTTAAAACCTGAATCCATGAATTTTATATACTCATCCAAGCTCATCTCCAGGAGATTTAATGTATTGACTTCCATTTCAATTTTCATGTCAATAAATAATGGATTATATGTATTGACTTTTCTTTGTCCAACTGTTTATAATTGAATTATAAACAAACTCACTATAATCAGTTATGAATTTCGTCGACATGTCATGGGTGAATAAAACTAAGATTATGACATTCTGTACTTTATCTGAGCTTTAGCAGCTATTTTTACAATTTTGTAACTCAACAATTTAAAAGATTTAATGTCATTAATTTATACAGGTTATTGCTTAGCCTTGAAATGAGCCCTCAGTAATTAGATTATATGTTTGAGCTCATCTTCAATTACTGATCAATATCTATGAAGGAAAAAATCTTTTAATGTAAGTACATACAATTGAGTTACAAAATTATATTTATTAATGCCAGTACATATAATTCTTGCTCTTACCACGTGATTATATTCAATTGTACCTTATAGAAAATGGCATAATCTGAGTTGAATAGAACTAATTGTTTTCATATGAATCTATTCTACAGTGCAACAACGTGATTTTAAAGTACTGATCAATATCTCAGTCCGTGAGGAGTCCATCATTGTAAGTATATATTGAAATTTAATATTGTCTCGAGATTGTTGCTCCCATTTTATTTGTTGCTGCCATTAAGGAACAATTGTCCTGCTTATCTAAAATTTTCTATATCAAGGAATCTATTCCAGTCACCTGCTGCATTGCTTAGATGTAGAAATTGCTTTGTAAATACAATAATTCTTGAACATATCTAACGTAGTTCTACCTTCATAAAACCAGTTTCTGTGGATAAAAATATGAACCGCCAGCAATAATTTTTTAAATCTGCTCTTTGATCCCTAATACATCAAGTAATGAGATTCAAACAATGTTGTAAATCATTGATTGACAGTAACTAAAGACAACACGCTATCTAATCTAACAACTGACACATGATACTGAACAATTTACATATATCAATATAATGTGACCAACTGCTGACACTTGAAACTCAATTTGTAACATATTAATAACATGGGATTCAAACAATGTTGTTAAAACTTATATTGTAGGAATGAAATATGCTCTATCTGTTTTGAGCTGACTCTTCTGGTCATTGAATAAATTTTATTCATTCAACACTATATATTACTTTTGTACATCAATATACTCATCAAAAGAGATATACAATGAAAAAAAATACTAACACCAATCTATAATACTTTTTGAATTGTTTTTTTGAACTTGAAACATGAATTGTCAGTATTTACATTTCTCTTCTCATTTGGGTACAACTACTGGACAATTACAACATGCACATCCCTAATATTTTTGCTGAAATGCTTAATACACATTAGTCTGAATCTCTCATTAGGAAGTCTGCTGGGCATGCACACATGCACAAGCAATTTTATTCAGGACTCACATCTGATGTCTGCATCCATACTATGTATCTCCTTAAATCTTCCAACTGGATTTTGAAAGTGATAGCATACTTTCTTTGTTATTTACATCCAAATAAGGATGTAAGCTAATAACCATACTAAACACTTTAATTTCTATATCTAACTGCTCATCACTTTTAATAGACTGCTTTAATATTCTTGCATTATATTCAAAACATAGGTTGTATACTAACTACAATATCATTCTTATTATAACACATCCAGAAATTATATTCATAAAATGTTGTAACTCAACAATTGATAGTAAATAAAGATATAAAGCTATCTAATACTTGATGATTACTGTAATTTTGAAGTGTACTTTAGAGAAAATGGGATAATATCATTTGATATAAACTAATTGCCTTTAATTTTATCTATTCTGCAGAGCAACATCGTGTTTTCAAACACTCATTAATATATCAGTGTCCGAGAGGAGATCATCATTGTAAGTATTAGCAAATTCATATTCTTTTTTACCTATCGTGTTGAATTAAGTTGTTACAATGA